GGAAAATAGTTAATAGAAAGAACGCAAAAGCAAAGAAGAAATAAGGCTGAAGAGAAGTTTATATAGTCTTCATGTTACAAAACAGGAGAAAAGTCATGTAGAAATTAAAGCATAAGTGAAGCTTAAAATACTTCTACTGAAGTGGAAGAATATACCTATATACTTCGTCTAAAACCACCTATATACCTTTTCTAAAATCTTTATTGATGTGCATACAATAAAAATTCTATTTTCCAACATCATAAATGAACATGTCATTATTTTGATTATCATAAATGAACATGTCATTATTTTGATTATCAAAATGTAATGATAAAAAAAACAGCAGTGATTTTGAGCAGTTACCATGTGCCAGATACTTCCCCTCTGCTATCCTGATGTTATTTTATTCCATTTTACAATAAGAAAGCAGAGGCTTAGAGAGGATAAATATCTTGCCTACATTCCCAGAGCAGTAAAACATAGAGGTGGATTTTGAATACAGCTGTCTACATTCCAGAATACTTGTCCTGGAGCTGGCTCCCACAGGCTTCTGAGAGGAGACTGTGGACTATGCTTCTCAGTGCTGCCACTGGCAACTCTTGTTGATGGATCGAACTTGGACATGGTGGGGATATTTACACCATGGGAATTGGCAAACCCTACATATCAGGAATTTCCCCCCAGAGTCTGTTGACCATGCAGCACATCACTGCTTTTACTGTTTTCCACTGTGATAGACTGACTCTGACAAATAGTCTCACAATTCTGAAATTTTATTATTTTTATTCCCTTAGATTCTGGTCAAAGCAGAATCAGAAGAAGAGGAACCTGACGGCTCAATTCAGTTGCCTGTTACTAGAAATAAAATCATGACAGCTCAATTTGAATGTTACCAAAAAATTATGCAAGACCCTATTCAACAAACAGAAGGTAAACATGACTAATTTTAAATGCATTTGATATATTTTTAAAAAGAAAACTACCCCATTACATCATTGTGGGTTCCTTAGTTCATTCTTAAAAATGGGTTAGTTGCTATTTTTTCTGGTATATGTGCAGTTTTAATTATTTATTTATGAAGAATATCTTATAACATAATTAATCTTGCTCCTTTTAAAAAATTCTAATAAAAATATGTGCAACAGGGAAGGTTTTACTAACTTTTTATGGTATATTTAAAATTTCAAACATGTATGTGTTTTGAATTAAATCAGTGACAATTGAGGGGGAAGGTATAGCTCAGTGGTACAGTGCGTGCTTAGCATGCATGAGGTCCTAGGTTCAATCCCCAGTACCTCCATTATAAATAAGTAAATAAAAACCTAATTACCTCCCCCCCCCAAAAATCAGTGACAGTTGATCTTCAGTTTTGGATTTCTTTCTTTTCACAAGCTGCTTGATAGGCGCTTCTCAATAAAATGGCACACACACACACACACACATATATTTTGCATAACATACACTTTGTATAGTACATTTGGTAGTAAAGCTAATGACGTCACATTTATTGAGCACCTACTAAGTGCCATATATTTGTCTCAGTTCTGAGGATATAAAGAAGAGTAGCACAAGTAGAGTTGCCAAATTTAGCAAAAAGAAAACCAAAAACAAGCCCTGTGTTTTATCTGCCAACTCTAAAGACAGGGTTATCTTCAAACTACAAGATGCAAAACTCATAGTGTAATAAGCAAAATGGTTTTTTAGATATTTTAAAATATTTAAACCATCAGTGGAAACAAAATTTTTGAAATTTGAGGGAAAATACTTGATAGTATAAAATACAATGTTTGTTATATATGTGAAATGTTAAAAGTAGGTTATTATTAATATTTGTAACTGTCAAAATGAACTTGCTTGTGAGAAAGAGAAAGCAGCAATTTTTTCACATTGGTCAAGTCCTTAACCTTAATATAACTGAATAATATAATTTGTTCATCTTTGGAGATATAGTTAGATATCTGCCCAAATATTTTTATTACTATTATATAGTTATATATGTTATTAGTTTAAAACTATTGAATTAATGCCTTCCAAATCATCTAGATACATATTAAAGTAAGCTTCAAATCTAATTGTTGAACAATAGGAATATATTTATGAGGGTTTTGTAATAAAATAATTTTGTGATTAAACTATGTTTAAGGTTAGTGCACAGTCTTCTTGGAGCTTCATAATGCACTTTATAATTTTAAATACTCTAGAAAATCTTGTGATAAAGAAACATTTTTGTTTTAACTTCATGTTTTTCAAGTCTATTTGACCCCAGAAGTTTTTTAAGTGGAATACCTACTCATGTGCCCACTCAAATGATATACAACACAGTCAAAAAAACTTCTGGATCTTCAATCTGTCATGCTGCCAGTGCTGTCCTTAATCAGGTGGAATCTTCTGGAAAAGTCATAAGGACTTGTTTGAGATGCTTTCTAAAATGATATCAGGAAATTTTTTCTCTAATAGGCCACAAAATGCATTTCATTTAGTAATATGTGGACAAAAACTATCTAGATAAGAAAACTATTTTAATAATAAAACTATTTGAAAAATTCAGGAGAGAATACTAAGATTATCTGAGGTTTTTTTAAAAAAACTAGAATTATTTAGATTTCAGGCCAATAGATTTTTTTTCTACTTCCATGAAGCCTAGATTGATTCTGAGATTGCTGTACAAATCTGTTAAAAATAATAAACATCTCATGGAACATTCAAATTTCCATGTGTGCTTACCTAACAAGGCAGAAAATTACTTTCTTTGATTACAGACTAACATTGGAATGTTGTCATTTTATTTTTCTATGACTTCAAAAAACTATTTTTTTTTATGTAAGAGATTCTTTCTCTTAATGTTAGTAAGAGAAAAATGTGAGTATATTAAACACTCTACTCCATTTAAAAAGAAAAGGAAGGAAGGAAGAGCTAGAATTTAGTGGAGGGACCTAAATAAGTATGTGTCAGGGTTAATGTGGTGAAGTAGGAAATACTAGAATATTAATCTGTTCACTTCAGAAAATACTGTATCTTGCTCTAAGAACAGAGTTTCTAAAATATAACATGTTTCCAGTGTCCCATATTGTTTTAATTGCAAGCATAGGGATACTAATTAACCACTATTTTATAGTTAAGGACAACCAGGAAAGACCATTTGATTTACTGAATAAACAGCTACCTTTGAGAATTAGAACTGAAACTAAACTTCTTATAAATTTTTTCACATATTCCTAAACTTAACAATTAGTTATTCTAATAATTACTTGATGAAAAAAATCCAAGTAATTGCTCTAGATTTTATATGATGTCTTCATTTTCAGTAGACATCTTCATTCCATGTCAGTGTAAGTCCACCACTGCGTCTTTATATATAACTACAGGGAGTTAGTAAGCCCTAATTTTTACTTCCCCCTTGAGGTATTTACTGCAACAGAACCTGGGATGGATGGCTGTGCTGGAATGATGTTGCCGCAGGAACGGAATCAATGCAGCGCTGCCCTGATTACTTTCAGGACTTTGATCCTTCAGGTAAAGCAGAAATTTGTTTAGAAATCTCCTCGACATCTATTTAATAAACCGTAGGTTAACTAAATTATTGTTTCCTTTTTTCCTTTTTAATGTTGAAGAAAAAGTTACAAAAATCTGTGACCAAGATGGAAACTGGTTTAGACATCCAGAAAGCAACAGAACATGGACAAATTATACCCAATGTAATGTTAATACACATGAGAAAGTAAAGGTATGTAATAATTATAAATTAAAATTTAACTTACAGTATCTATTTAAAAAGTTAGTTACCAATACAGTATTGGGGAAATTTCAGCTAGTGTTCATTCCACTTTAAAGGCTTTTCATAATAAAGACAATGAAGAAAATAGCTTTGTAAAACAATTATTATTGATTAGGTCATTACACTGAGGAAGCAACCTTACTAGATAATAGTGTACTTACAAGTCAATGTCTCAGTATTGGAATTTCACGTTTTCCAAAGAAAACATACTTTTAAAGTGTAAGAAAAAGGAAGATTTTCATTTGTGGTGGAATTTCTAGAATTACATTCAGGAGTTGTATTCAAGTAAACAAGATAAACCCAGTAGGGCTTAAACAGTTCTATCTGTCCCTCAGCAGAAGGCTTGTTTTCTGACTGGCTGTCAGGTCACTGGCACTGGCATTCTCACTTTTAACACCATACATTAAAGTCAAGGTTAGTCACAGTTCGTCACAACAATAAAACTGTGCTACAAAGTGTCTGCATATATTTGCATGTGAGTGTACGTGGAGGCTATTTGTCACAGAGATTAAAATTGAACCCTGATGTCTGAGTTCCTATTTCTGCCCCTTACCAGCTGTGACCTTGGGCAAGCCTTCACTTTTCCCTGCCTCAGTCCCCTCTTGTATAAAATGAGGGTAATAACCCCACCCCTAGGGTATTCATAAGAATTGACTTCATACAAGGAAAATACGTAGAAGACTACCAAGCATATAGTAAACACATGATAACTGTCAGCTATCACTACAGTTATTAATCATGTATTCTTTACTTATTCAGAGAAGGGCTTGAAGGGAATTATAAAAATGCACAATAATACAGTAAGTTACAAGCAAATAGAATAAAGACAAAAATCAAACAGAGAAAGTCAAAACCAGGAGAAATAACTTATTTGTATAGATCAGAATTTCCCCATAAATTACTATATTGAGATTTATTTCAGAGCCTCAAATTGGTCAAAGGAGAAAACAAATCCAGTTGGGAAAGTAAGCCTTATCTGGCATTTAAATCTGAACAAACAAAAATCATTAAATAGCACTTTATTTATGGTGTACAAAGTGATAGAGTGAAAATTGTCAATACACTTCAAAATTTAAAATGCTGGTTTTATATATTACACCAACCTAGATCAAGAAAATTAATCCTTCATTTATTTAACCTCTAATTTTTAAATAAAAAGAGCAGACAATTTATAAATCACTTAATAAATTTGAACAGATATTTTACATTCTAGTTGTATTTAAATATTTATTGATTTGCAAGCTAAATGGTAAGGCTACCATCACATGTTTTTAAAAATATAATTTATTTCATTGATTTTGAGCTTATACACATAGAATTATTGTACTGACATGTACCTTAATTTTTTTGTTTATGTAAATTACAGACGGCATTGAATTTGTTTTACCTGACTATAATTGGACATGGATTATCTATTGCATCACTCCTTATCTCACTTGGTATATTCTTTTATTTCAAGTAAGTACATGTAAAATATTTTTTTCAATTTAATTGTCTTTGGTGAATGCAGTGTCATATGCATGTTTATGTCATGCTGATAAAATATGTGAAAAGTAGATGATTTATAATGTTTGAAATAAATTATGTTGACTTTATCTTGACTTTATAAAATATAGAGAAAGGAGACTGATGAAACATCTGAAGCCAATTTTACAAAATTAGTACACCTATAAGAATGAAGTCATGTATTAAGAAGGGAGCCAAAACCAATATGTAAATCTATCTGTATTTGCTCTGGAAACTGCCAAACATTATAGGCCTCCCTAATTAAATTTTTGGCTTCTTGGTCAATTTTGGTATCAGGATACAAGGTACATTATAGAAACTGGTATTTTGTGTAAATTATAGACATGGCATGTAATATATACTGTTAAAAATAATAATTTCAATATATTATGATAGATTATTTTTCCTGGTTTGGGGAAGGAGAGTCGATTTCAATTTCTTGATTCAACCAATTGACAGTGATTTTTTTTAATTGATAGGAAGGTAAATTCTAAAACATGCATACATTATTTTATGCATTAACATGATTTTCATAATTTTGATCACCCCCTAGTAACGACAATGCAGTGTAAAGAGCAAGTTGCAATATTTTATTATGTGTTCATCACCATTGCCGTTGCCTTCCTCTTCCTCTTCTGCCTCCTCTTCTTATTTTCCTCCTTTTCCTCCCTTGCTCCTTCTTCCTGCCGCTCCCCCATCCTCTTCCCCCTCCCCCCTTTTCCTCTTTCCCCTTCTTCAGCAACCATCTTGTAACACTAGCAGTTTCAGAGCCAGCTAAAGTAGTAGCACATCAAAATATCCAAATCTAGAAGTTATTAGACAGCTGGATGTTAGGTTGATATGTAACTGGAATACTAGCTTTTAGTCCATAGTCCATCAGATATTCAGAGTACATCATATAATATATGAACCAACCAACATTATCTCTCATGGGTTCAAAATCATGGAAATCTACAGATTGCATTTTGTAAAAAAGTGCATCAAAATACATTGAAAATAATTTTTATACTAAAATATGGAAATCATTTCTTAAAGAATTAAATTTACTATATTATATTTTGCAACAAATTTCCAAACTGTTCTTGCTCAAATCAAGTTGTTAGTTCTCAGTCACTGCCTTTATAATTAGTTATGTAATATCAGTTGCTTATATACAGTTTATTAAAACTTCATGTCTTTACCCTTGCACACACTCTTTCTTATCTTTTGCAAGACTTTTGAAGTGAATACTATCTTTGGAGTAGGAAAAATTTCATTATGACTTTCTAATAGATTAAAAATATCTGTTCTAAAATATGGAAAATAAACCATTTTCCAAAGCGACAATTTTTAAATAAAGTCCACAGGGCTACAGTGATATATTATTTATGCTAATTGACAAAGTAAAACAATGCTACCGATGCTAACAAACTTACTGGTAAAATATGGCAATAAAACTTAGTTAATATTCAATTTAATGAATTTAAAAACACAAAATGAAATTAAAATTTCAAAATCTCAGTATAAGCTTAAGATAAAGTTCTTTTTTCCAAGAATATGAAAACGAATATATGTATGTGTATGTATGACAGACATTATGCTCTACACCAGAAATTGACACAACATTGTAAACAAAATCTTTACAATTTAAAAATGAAAGGTATCTAAATTTGAAAAAAATTACTCTCTTGCATCTTGGAACTAAATGATGAAAGTAATTTCCTTAAACCTATGCAATATTCTAGAACTCAGGTTTTCAGTTCATGAAAATTACGTATTACCACACATACAAACACAGAAAGAATTAATTTAAATGTAACTAATATTAGCTAAGATTCTTCTTTTTCACATTAAGAGTTTTACAACCATGACTAAGTATGAAGTAGATCAGCCTCTACCCTTGGGGAAAAAAGTTATGTTTTAAGTATTTCTAGCTTCAGTAAAAAGAATACAACCATTAATTTAAAACAAACCATAATCCAGAAACAAGAATTGCACTTAAATTTGCAATATTTTTTAAATATTGAAAATAATTTAAGCATATCACTGTTTTTTAAATAAAGAAATATATACATCTATAATCCTAATATCCAACTGAGTAATTTCAGGTATTTTTCCAGTTCTGTTTCATATCCATTTGTTTTTACTGAGTTTTTATTGTAATGTACAAATTATTTTAACTATTTTTATAACAGCATTATACAGTTCTTTCCATGTCACTAAGAAGTTAAAACAACCATTTAATTGGCTGATTAATATTCCATTTAGTAACTTGACAAAAGTTTACTAAATCATTCTTCTATTTTCGAATGTTAGCATTGCTTCCAATTTTTCCTATTAATAAAAAACACTGCAATGGACATTTTCAGTCCTAACTTTTCCCATATTTTGCACTATTGATTTCTTGGTCACAGAGTGTATATCTTTTTATGGCTCTTGAAATACATCATCTTCGGAGTATTTCAAAATCAACATGTTCGAAACAAATTCACAATATCTACCACTTCTTACCCCAAAGTAGTTTTTCTCTCAGAGTGACCCATCTTTACAAATACCACCACCAGCAATCTACTTGCCTTAGCCATAAATTTAGGAGCAATCTGTGATACCTTCTCAGCTTTCCTCCCTATCATTCTCTCCTTATAACTCTGTGGATAGAACCTCCTAACAGCTCTCCAATCTATCCAATTTATTTAATCTCTTTTGCCACCCCCACGAACCTAGTCTTATTAAGCCTCAGTAAGTCCACTTTCACCACCTTCATTCAATTTTAAACACTGTAGCCAGAATATTTTCAAACATTTATGTCAAATATAGATCTGATTTTGTCATACTTTGCTTTAAAAATTTTAAGCTTCCTATTGTAATGTATATAAAATCAAAATCATTAACATATCCTATAATTGAATATCTATTCTCTTCCTGCCTTCTCTAGTCTAGTTCAATGTATTCATCTTTCAGATCTAAACTTTAGCATCATTTCCTCAGTGAAATCTTTGTGACTTTTTTTTTTAACGTAGTGTTTCTGAAACTGCAATTAGTTTGTGCTGGATGTGGAATAAATTTTTAATTACCATTTAGGAGACCACCATGTCTGCAGATTTAAAACTGATACAGCTGGGATCCTTCAGATTAAATGATCTCTTTTTATTTTGCATTGTAATAAGCCAAAATATTCAAGCACATTAAATTTCTGAAAGAACAAAGTAAAGTATAGTAATTATATTGCATGCCAAAATCAGTAGTCAAAAAAGAGAAAAAAGGTGTCCTAGAATTCCAAGCCCTTTGGCCCCAATCAAGTTTGAATTTCAAGAATATAAACAAAATCCTGAACTAATTCCATGAAATCAAATGCAAAATTAGCAAAGTTTCCTCATGAAGAGTCATGATTTAATTAAACAAATGCTTGATGTGAAATAATGAGGCAGTAGTGGGACTGCCAAGTGAAAACAGTACTGCAAGCCAGAGTATACAGTAATTGTAAAGTACCCAGTTCCAGATCTCTAATCAGACCAGTCATTTACTCTGTCCACTGTAGACTGAAATTGTAAGAGGAAAAGAGGATGTCACAAGAATTGACTTATCAGGATAGTGATAAAATTGAAGCAGATAATGTCTGCTGATCAGGGAGTCAAGGTACCAAAAATGTTAAGCCAGAAGATTTTCAGATATTAGATGTCAACCTATGAGGAATTTTGAAATGGAAGATTACTATACTGGGTTCATAGCTGGACCTCATGATTTTGCTAGTTCCAAGCCCAAGTCTGTATTTTAGTAAAGAAGATTACAAAGAAAGAATTAATTTTTTAAATCAAAATACACAATTTCAGTATCAAGAAAATTAACATTTGTGAAAGTATTCTGAAGCCTGAACGCAGTCTACATAGATAAACTATATTTATTATCGAATAAGAATTGAAAGAAAATCTGATTCAGTATTTTTATACCTGTATTTAATGTACATCGTATTAAAAAAGCCAATACTATTCAACCAATACTCACAAGTAATTTAATTCTTAATCAAAGTGTTAAAATTTAAAACTGCAGAATTAATTTATTTCCTCCATAGAAAAATACTTTTTAAAAAACTGAAATTCTGTATATACATGCTGAGTGTTTTTTTAAAGATACAATAACAAGACTCATTTCTCTTTTTAAAAGCAAGACTAGAAATTTCATGTTGCCCCAAACATTGTCCTCATGCTTCACATATAAATGGGCCTCTTTGCTTCAGAAAAAGAGCAAGTTTTCCTTTTTAAATTTGAGTACTATATGAAATAAATATATATGTTAATTGCTAAAATTTCTGTGCTTTTTAAAAAATTTGTGGCATGTTACATAGGCAAATTATTTTGCCTATACATGGAATTTGGTTCTTGGCCTCTGTGTAGAAGCAGGTATTCCCTAAACAGGCAAGTCTGGTCTCAGATTCCACCTTTGTTATATACTTGCTGCATAACATGGAGCAACTTCTTTCATTTCTCTAATCCTCATTTTCACATCTTTAAAATCCAGATTCTATTAGTATCTATATGATAGATTTAGTCTTAGGGCTGAAATAATATGTAATGCATTATTAAGTGGAAAGTCTTCTTTAGGAAAACATGTCTTTCATTGTCTATTATATTGTCTATTATTATTCTACGGTCTATTATTGTCATAGTTATTGCTCTTGATCTTTCTTATTAATCCATTAAAATATTTGTATATAAATATTTAGCCATAATAGGTATATTGTACCAGGGGGCTCTTTAAAAACAGAATTAAAGAACACAATTTCTAGTTTTACATGTACCATATTTATAAAAAATTGTTACAATGTTCATGCAGAAAAATAAGTACACAATGAATGAAAAATTTTATAAACCAAATTAGTAGTATAATTATATTAGAAAAAACTTGTGGTTAAGTGAATTAGTCAAAAATAATAAAACTTTTTTAATGCTCATAAGGCACCATATAGCTTACTCAGA